TTGGGAATGCTCTAACATCAAAGTTATCTGCCGATTTGTATGAAATTTATATGCGCCATTTAAATTAGTAAAGATAAGAAGCTTATTGAATTTCAGCAATTTCCGTTTATTACTTCTAGAGTTGTGGCCCTTGTTTCACTTTGTTGCCTATTTTGTAAATATGCAGGAATACATTTCATCAAAATTTGTAATAAAAGGTTCTATGGTGAAATACATACAACCAAATTACACCATTCGACTGAGGACTGCTCAATGCGTATCGGCATTGTATTTATTGAGAAAATATCAAATCTCTGAAGCGTGACATCGTATAAATTCCACAACAATGTATGTTTTATCTCGAAAGATTCCACTGAATATATATATCTGACAAACAATGGTAAATTTTAGTATTCGGCACCTAGGATAAATTTACTACACCCGTTTTCGATACATTGTTGAACCTTCAGTCATGGGTTTGAACCATGATATCAAAAATATTTTACTGCTCAAATGGGCATGACCCTGTCAATATTTGTATTCCCATAGTTTTTTCTTGATTAGGACCCTGTATCCGTTGGGTGTTAGAATAGTTAGATTTTAAATTATAGAGCTACTCTCACTCGCCAACATTATCTTTATGTCTGGGAATGGAATTACGAGACTATGACCATGGGCATAGAGGCAACCCCGCGTGGTTGATTGCCTAGACTAGACTGTGACATGTTTCAGATAAAAAAGTAATATTATGGATTAACAGACTTTTAGGTGCATTTTCCGACTATGGGTTGTAACATAGCCTACAAGTTATAGAATATGGAGCTACGATAGAAAGTAAAGTAAGAAATTCACGAAAGGTAGCAGTCTACAATACTTTTATTTTCCGAAAATGCCGAAAAGTCGCGGAATTCAATCGGACTTTGTCCGTGTCCGACCAGTTTTTTCCAGGCATGATAAGAACCTCTCACCAGTAGCACTGGTGGTATTAATTGTCGCAGTCATCTTCTCCTATGTTCATGCTGGCTCGCTGGCTCGCTAGCCTAGGGGTCACAGGTTTGCTCCCTGTATTGGTCAAGCAAGTTTATAAGGTTTTCCGACGTGGTTTCTCCTTGTCTAGTCGTTCGGATGATACGAAAAACCGAGGTGCCGTGTACACATTGGTGTGCATGTAAAAGATCCCTTGTCAGTTTAAATTTGATAAAATTAGGCCTTAGCACCTGCTGTCAGGGCAAAATTTCCCTCATGGCACACTGTATGTCGTATGCCCGTCTTCATTAGCCCAGTTAAAGCAAAATTTCATTTCATATACACCATCAAACATTAACTGAATACTGTCAAATAGAAAATGAAAGTGGGCAGCAAGCTGGGAGTCATAAAATGCCTGCATGATTTACTTATCCAAAACTGGATTTATTAAGATAGAAATTTATTATTGGGAGTAGCGATTTATCGTTAATTTCATCTCATTTTATGAGAAATAGTGAAATTTTACATTTTTCATGATATTTTAACATTTTATGATAATTTTATGAGAAATGACGAAATTTTATGAAAATATAATGTATTTATATTGTACAGTCCCTGTGTATGCTGCCCTCATTACCTCAATAGGACGTTAAATTTTGATTTTCACACTCCAAGGATTCTTTGTTGAATAAAATCCGGGGGGTTGGATGGCCGAATGGTTAGCACGTGCGCGCTGTATCATAAAGCCTGTCATTGAGTCAGCTGGCGTGGTTTCGAATCCCCGGTTGTACGTGACAAGGAGTAGGGTCGCCTGTCCAACCTCGTGGGTTTTCTCCGGGTCCTCCGGTTTCCTCCCACTGCTAAAGACCCCTACGCGCAAGCGAATTATTGAAATAAAATTAAACCATATGTTAGTCCTGAAATGACCTAGTTTGTGTCGAGTGGACGTTAAACCCCATTTCTCTCTCTCTCTCTCTCTGAATAAAATCCTCAACGAACATCACACTGTTTCTCATCACTGACATTTCGTGGACGATGGTATACCATCATGTACAAGAATTTTCTATGATCTTTATGGTCACATAGTAATGTTTATTTAAAGTAGCTTAGTCTCTAACTCAATATCATCCAAAGTCTTTGACACTGAAAACACGAATTAATTGTCAATTTAAATCAACATCGGTGTTGTTATCGTATCGTGAAAAGATGGGCTTCTGATATCCAATATTTAAGACAAAATAAACATTTTACCATTGGTACATGAATCATGTACCATAATGCATTTCAGCACCATTTGTAAAAAGGGACTCGAAGAACGAGGCTATACATTATGTCAAACGGTAACGCCATATTCTTACCTGGGGAGCATGCGCAATAAATACTATATGTGTAGACTGGAATAACCAGACGCTAAAGATTGCAATTTGATTGACACGTCTGGCATATTTCGCCGAACATAACTGATTTGAAATTTGAGTAAAAACGGAAACGATTGAATGTAAATCAGTTTATATACATTCATATTACGTTATTATATGTGTTGCGACCCATTTGTGTCAATTTCTAGGTCCTAGCTCCTTTAAGTATTTACCCGCACAATAATTTGTTTATATCAAATTAAACATAGTTACCTCCATCCAGGGTTAAACAATTAAACTATCTCAGTGATTTATCAACTCAATGGCTTGACTAACAGGAGGGCACTTATAGCAAACAAAATGACAGGAACATTTTGTGAGGATGTATACAGTAAATGATGTAAACCAAGGATTATTTAGAATAGTTAAAAGAATGTTAGCTACAATAGTGCATAAAGTGTAAATGATTGTTTATTTTGTAAATGACCATCCGATAATAATTTCCATTTTTTGGGAAAGTTTACATGGGGGCTAAGTTCTTCTTGTGTGTGATGGGGTATGGTTGTTGTTAGTTGGTTGTATTTTACGTCCGCTTTCACCGAGGTGATATCGCAGACAAGTGGGGTATGGTCTGTGTGTGAAATAGCTTTATTTAACGTCCGCTTCCACCGAAGTGATATCGCAGACAATGGGGTATGGTCATTGATGTCATTTTTTTTTACTAGTCAAGTCTTTGTGTGTGGTATGGTTTGTTCACTGTTGTCAGTTCTTGTACCAATCAAGTCTATGTGTGTGGTATGGTTTGTTCACTGTTGTCAGTTCTTGTACCAATCAAGTCTTTGTGTGGTCACTATTGTTAGTTTTTGTACCAATCAAGTCTTTGTGTGTGGTATGTACCTGGTTTGTTCACTGCTATCAGTTTGTGTACCAATCAATCATTGTCTGCAGTAAATACTTGGTGTGTTCATTGTTGTTTGGATAACAAATTTAAATAATTATAATTATGCTATTATTAGTGTATCGATGTTCAAAACATAAGCATACATATCTTTTCTAAAGGAGAATTTGTGGTACAAGAAAGACAAATGTTTCAGGTGCTTAGCCAGTTCTCTTTCCTATGGAAAAGATAATATCCAAAAAATAAGTAACTTACCTTTTAAGAACTTTGTCCATTTTCTTTTTTGTTTACATTTATATTATTAAGTTGACTGAAAACAAAAAAAAATTACCAAAAAATTAATACAGAGAGAGAGAGAAACAGGGTTTAACGTCCACTCAACGTAACTAGGTCATTTCGGGACTAACACGTCATGGTTCAATTTTATTTCAATAATTTGCTTGCGCGTAGTGGTCTTTAGCAGTGGGAGGAAACCGGAGGACCTGGAGAAAATCCACGAAGTTGGACAGGTGACGATCCTCCATGTCACATATGACCGGGGAATCAAAACCATGCCAGTTGACTCAATAACAGACCTTATGATACTGCGCACACGTGCTAATCATTCGGCAATCCAACTCCCCTAAAATTAATACAATGACTGCAAGATCCATACTTTCATGTTAAGCATGATGCAGATTCCATTTAAGTGGCTTGAAAAATATGGGTACCAACCAAATATATAGCTTTAATGGGGTTTATACACTCAGTGGACCCGTTCTGGTCTGGACCGAGTACAGTTCAACCTGTGTAAACCACAAAGAATTTTGTGGAATGATGAGGTAAAAGTAAACTGACCTGTTTCTCCAATTTTCATGTATTTTTTTTTTAAAAAAAAAGAAGACGAAAAGAAGCCTTACTCATCGTTGTATATTAATTTCCAACATACCGTACTTGATTTCCAACGTATTGACACCAAATCCATTGGTGTGGTGGTGGTATATCTGGCTAGACCTATGTACATAATATAAGTCTTACAGATTCCAACTAGATATGCCTCTATACATGAAAAACAAAATTCATGCTGAAGAAGTTGACAAATCACCACATGATATATGTTAAGTTATAATTTGAATTTTTTTTTTATTTCCTTGTTGTAAAAATAGTTTTTATTAGTCATTTAAATCTTATTTTCCTCCCCCGACTTTTTAATAATTCTATATGAAAATATCTGTCTGTGCCCTTTATATGGTCCCTCTTGCAAAAAGTGTTTGAAAAATAGATTACAGCACAGAATGAACCCATTATCTTTCATAAATTAAAATGACACCCATATTTGCAAATGCCTAAACAATGTTCTGAAAACTTTGACATGAGCTTCATAAATGGCAGGGATTCTGATGAGGGCCATTTCTGAATGGACACAGAGGAACTTTTACATATTTGTTGAGATTTAATGGCTTACATTTCTGCACCTAATGAAGAGGAGCATACACCATGCACAGTGAGCTGTGTGGCCGTGGGAATTATTACCTGGACAACAAATTCCAACTGTCAAGGGTTCTTTACTTGCAAGCCATGATGTTTTTTTGTTCCATTTGAATGAATAGACAGTGTACCTTACCAGGCCCTCTATCCTGCACGACTGACAAGGGGAAACCAAGTTGATAAAGTAACTTCCTTGGCCAACACCAGAATCAAATCACGACCTCCTGGTTTGAGCTGCCAGCATCTTACTGATCCATTGTGTATATAAGAAAGTAATTAATTAGTTATAGTACGTAGTACCATTATAATCATAATCTTTATTTATTTTACAGATACTATAAGTTAACCTAAAGTCTATTATAACAACAGAAATGGCATGGTATGTCTGCTTTAACTTGGTGAGTTTATAATAGAGTTACTTCCCTTCAGACTAGATATGTCAAACTCTCCAGAAGTATGAGAGATTATAAACATATTCCAAATATAATTATAACACACAGATCATTGCTACGGTAGATGCATAACAGAGACTTGTAGAAACGGGAAGTGATGTAAAAAATAGAAAAGAGGAGTTATCTTTATATATAACTGACTGAAGAAATAATTACTGTCACGTAATAAGAGAAATTTGAAAAATAGAAAAAGGCCCCTACATTTCCCTTGTTTTTATTCATTCTATACTTAATAAAAAACATAAATAGTAATGCACAAACTTTTTGTATATTTTTTTTTCGTTTTCTCCTATATAGTGAGTCAATTCTTTTTATAAATTGTCAGATATCCTCTCATAGTCCCATATAACAATCAGAAATTCTGTTTCTTCAAATCTTCATTACCCATCTATCATAGCAATGATCTCTGTCTTAAAATAATATTTAGAACATGTTTAACCAGCTCTATTACACATGTGATAATGGCTGACACCAGTATTGTCCTTTAATTAAACCAGGTACAAGGAAATGATTTTGAAAGCGAGGTCTAAGCAGGCCCGTATCCAGCTTCAAGCACGGGGGACGGGGGATCTCCCCCCAGAAAATTTTGAAAATTGAGTAGCTGTAAACGAGTTTCTAAGCATAGAAATCGATAATTATATGTTATAAGAACAAACTATTCTGAGTGTTTTTCAAGAAATATATTCAAATCAAGAACAATGTACCACACGTAGGTAAGGCCATTGTAAGTGGGTCAGGGGTCATCCCCTAGAAAATTTTGAAAAATTGATAGATGCAAGGACCGGGGCTTTCAAGTAAAGAAATTGTCATTTTTTATAGATCAACATTTTTCTATCATACATAGGTAATTTATAATATGGTCGACAACTTTTTGTCAGGGGGGGGGGCAAGATTATTTCCAGGGGGGGCTTCGCCCCCCCCCAGGCCCCCCCTTGGCTACGGGCCTGTATGGTCGACAACTTTTTGTCAGGGGGGGGGCAAGATTATTTCCAGGGGGGCTTCGCTTGCCCCCCCCCCCCAGGTCCCCCCTTGGCTACGGGCCTGGGTCTAAGATTTGAAAAAAGAAAGAAGCGTCATTGAACAAATGTTTCTGTGAAGATTTTGGGATGTTGCAGTGATATAGACAATACTTTGCCTCCATAACTCTAAAATTTAGTTATTTAATTGGGAGAGTCTTCAAACATATCTCTTTAATATCAACAGATGTCAGTGGTTCCCAACTTTTTTCCACTTACAAACCCAGATTTTTTATTTCGATTTTGATTTCATCACCTCTATTTTTCAGCTCTGTACTGCTTTACTGCTTTTTATTGCAATTGTGGAATCCACTCAAAATTGTGGCATTGACAGATGTACATATGGAGCACAGTTTTGTGATGAATTGCCCGTTAATAATGGACGGTGTCAGTCGTGTAAAATACTTTCCAGCATAAATTATTGCGACTACAGAAATAAAAGCGAGGAGTGTCTGTTAATGGGGTGTAGAAGTGAGTTTTACAACTAGTTATATATAAAGAAGACTTACTATTTCATGCAGATTATTTTTTTTTATTCGTCTCAACATTCTATTTAATATTTTCAGAGAAGTATTCTAACTGTTAAAACAGTAGGCAACAGATTGCCCTTTTTACATATTTAAAAAAAAACCCCACACTATTAATTATGTTACAGAACCAACCAATATTTACCTACAAAATCTTTTTTTTTTTCTAGCATAGTTCAATTATTTGTGGCAACATCCCCTTTTAAAATTTCTTGTGAGTGCCCTTTCATTCTACTCTATTATATCCCTTTTTCCATCAAATTTCCTGAGCCCATCATTTACGTAGTCAACATGTTAAGTTGTCACAATTTTGAAAATATAAAGTCTTCTATGCTTCTAACATATCTGTATGATAACGTTTCCAATATTATTTCAATGTTCACGGTGCAAAATATGTCAGCAATTCAAAATACATATTTTAATTTCCATTGCTCCACAGTACGAATGTCACAGTGTTAAAATACAGAATACACTTTTCAATAACACTAAATACAGTATAATAGTCATTTTGCACATTACACTTCTCCATTCTGCATTACAGACAAATGCATAATAGAACTTACCGACGAAGCTCATTTGCATACAGAGAAAAGTGTGTACTATGATGTAAAATAATAATTTATGCGATCAATCTTCAAGGTCAGTAGAAGGGGGCCGTACTCATATTTACAGACCTTCGGAAAACGATCAATGACATAAAATGAAATGGGGTTTAACATCCTACTGTTCTGCACTGACAGGGCTAATGAAAACGGGCATATTCTATGCAGTGTGCTATGAAAGAAAATTTGGCAGGACAGCAGCTCTATATACCGCCTACAGTACTCTTATATCGAATTCCAACTGCTAAGGAATCTTTTACATGCACGCTAATGTGTGCACAGGACGTTTTTCGTCCCATCCGAAAGATTAGACAGTTGTTCTTGTCAGGCCCTCCGTCCGGCATCACTGACAAGGGGAAAGAAAACGATCAAAGTCGGGTGGTTCGAAACTCTATTAAATGACGGGGGTGGGGGTATTTAAAGTAAATATGCATGTGCCTGTTAATACGAATTATAGATATCATGTTACGTATCACTAAAAAGCATGTTCATTTCAATTAATTTTCTGGTGCATTTATATTTACATGAAATGAAATGGTGTTTGTGTTTGAAGTCCCACGGTTCTGCTCCAATCGGGATAATGAAGATGTGCATACGCGATATTGTGTGCTACGAGGGAAATTTTCCCCGGCAGCGGCACTATGGCCTACTCTTATATCGAATTCCAACTGTCAAGCGATCTTTTACGTGCACGACAATGTATACATGGGACCTCGGTTTCTCGTCACATCCGAACGACTAGACATCTGTCCTTGTCAGGCCCTCTTTCTTACACATCTTACAAGGTGAAACCACGTTGGAAAATCCCAATATACTTTCTCAGCAAATGCAGGATCGAAACACGCGACTTACAGGCAAACGAGCCAGAGTCTTTCCCACTTAGCCATTTTGACTCCCTACTTTGAAAAAAAGATAAATGTTGAAGTGAAGGGCGGGGGGTGGGGTATGAAGTATAAATGTGGGGCTTATCTAAGGTTTGGATTAGCCATACCGAGCGGCAACATACTATTTCACAGAAGTCATGGTCATCCCACGAATTCCTTATTGCATGCTAGCTTGACTCGCTCTTATTGCATGGTAAGCCAATTCATTGAGTGGTGACTTATTGTATGCCAGCTTGATCTCTGCCCATTGACCATGTAGATTGATCGAGTAAATTATTAATTTCCGTCCTAGTCCAGATTTTTTTCTGTATACAAATGAGCTTCGTTGTAGGCATATGTTCTAATATGCTAAGTTCTATTATGCATTTGTCTATTATGCAAAATGCAGAGCGGAGAAGTGTACTGTGCAAAATAACTATTATACTGGATTTGTATTATTAGGGTTTCACACTGCGTAGCTTGGGTGAAACACTATTGTTTTTGTTCGGATTATTATTTTTATTATTATTGTTATTTTTCCATTTGAGCATATCTCAGAAACTACTTGTCGGATCGATTCGATGTCTTCGGTTTTACTGGGAAAGTGGGTTTGACTTAAATTTTAAAGCTATTTCTAACGTTCTACGACAATGCAAAATGTCCGAAATCACCGAACTTGTCGTTTTTCGAAATTTTGCCGTAATGTTATCAATAATTGTCGGATTGTAATATTTGATACATTTTGACATAGCCGGAGACAAGGCACATAGCTACAGTTCTTTAGATTTTTTATTTTCGACGAATCTTCGGAGATATTAGGCGCCAAATTTTGAAAATTTAAATTTTTACAAAAAACTTTTTTATTAATGAATATTTTTATGTGGTATTTTACCTAGGGTTAAAGAGTCATCTGATTTGGCCAAAAATTGCAACATTTTTTGTCACTGTATATTTCCTTGGCCCCCATTGGATAATTTAGTTTTTCAGTCCTGGATTAATTATTTATTGTTCGATTTGTATAAAACAAAATCCATATGCTCCGTGGTCCAAAATGTCATTTTTTTTATTACCGATAAAGTTGCCTTTCGGCAACGGAAGTGACGTAAATTTAGCAAAAACTGCAATTTTGAAAGTTCGGTACCACTTTTTGAAAGCAAATATTATTTTTTTCAAATCTGGTATTACTGAAAGGGTGTGCCCTGTTAAGGCGCAGAAATCATCGTGCTAAGTTTTTTTTAATTTTTATTTCGTTTTCGGATCATTTCGATTTAAAGGTGAAAAAATGAGCTATTCACAACCCATTCAGGCTTTTCATATTTTAAAATATTTCTTCACAACTTTCATAAACTAATAATCCATACGAAGAGAATGTATGTGAAAATTAGTTTGTAATATGAGCAGTTGCCGAGAAATGGGCAATTTTGCATGAGTCACTTTTTACGCTAGTTTGCCTGTAAATTGTAAAAGAGTCAATTATTATTTGATTTTCATATAAGTGACACCATTTGATGCATAATGTCAATTTTAACTAGGTCAAACCAATTTAACATTTTCAATGTCACCGGAAATGACGTAATTTGGGCAAAAATTGTATTTTTAGCCTTCAAAACAAGTAATTTATTCAAATGAGTTGTACTTGTTATTTGTTTAAAATTTTGAAATTTGATACAAATCAACTAATAGAATGAACCCATACGATCATATAGATATCACAAAATGGTTTCTAACTTGTTCAGTTGCGGAGAAATAGACGATTTTCAACAGGTAACTTTTCAAGGTTTTTGGTCCATAAAAGTGTCAATTATTATTCGATTTTCATAAAATTTCCAGTGTGTGATACCTAATCCCATTTACGATTTCCTACAAGTAATTTAACACTTTTACTGTCACCGGAACTAACGTCATTTTGGCAAAAACTGTATTTTTAGCCTTTAAAACAGATATTTTATTCAAATGAGTCTGATTTGTAATGTTTTTAAAATTATGATATTTGATTCCAATCAACAAATAGATTGAACCCATACGATCATACAGATACCAAAAAAATGGTTTCTAACTTGTTCGGTTGCAGAGAAATAGACAATTTTCTACAAGTCACTGTTCAAGATTTTTGGTCTATGAAAGTGGCAATTATTATTCGATTTACATAAAATTTTCACCATGTGGAGCCTTATGCCATTTCTGATTTAATAAAACTTATTTAACATTTTCATTATCACCGGAAATAATGTAATTTTGTCAGGATCACTTACATGTAACAAATGTATACAATGAATTGATATAGCTTGATTTGGTTGATTCTGCATACATTTTACTTGATGTGTGCAATGCCTATATGGAAACCTGTTTAATGGTTTCATCGGTACCGGAAGTGACACATGTTCAAGGGTAACGGGGCACCGTTGAAACCCGTCATTACTGCATCGCAGTTCTAGTTGAAAATTGTATTTTGTATTTTAACACTGTGATATTGGTATTGTGGAGCAATGGAAATTGCAATTTGTAAAACTAAAATACGTATTTTCAACTGCAGTGTGTACAGTGAACATTGAAATAATATTGGCAACGTTATCCTTCCATATATCTGTCCCTATGCCATTTTTGGTATAACACCATATTGTTCTACTACAGGTTAGCTGTCCATGCCTTCATATTTGTGCTAACATTATACTGACCCTGAGGTCATATGGATTCTAAATATCCACCTTGGCATCAAGTTGGTTCAGATGTCATAGCTACAGAAATCCAAGCACTGTAAAAATAAAAAAAAAGTTGTTAATATTTATTTTTAGATGCTGAAATTGAAAAGATAAAGGAAGACTGTGAAGCTAGTAAGTTATATTTATCTCAAATATTTATTAAACCTTTTTGTTTGTTCTGTCAAATATTAGGGGGAATAATCCCCCTCTCATCCTAGCGCCCAAAAGGGCGCAGCCCAAAGGGCGTGATGGATGAGATAGCCCGAGGGCTCGAGGATTTATATTGCATATTTCTCATTGTTCTTTCAAACCATGCACACTCGCTCAAACTTTAAAGGCTAAAAAATAGCTCACAGAATCAGTGTGTATAAACACGTGACCACGTGACCACACTCTATATAAACGATCACAACACTTTCAGTATTGTCTTTATAAAGATTTGTCTCCAGCTAGGCCAATGCATATTGTTCGTAGTAGATGGCCGCCAAGAATTAAGGATGATATTAGCAGATTGCTTTGATATTCCTCTATTATAGAAGGATTGTCAGGTATCCTGCATCCTGTTAGATATATATTCTTCTCTCGAAGAGAATGTAAAGCACCATTGTGGCTTAAACGTAAAAAGGTTCTTGCGAACAGGTAACCGAACTGGGTCGGCTGTACGTGAGCATTGATAGTAAAAATTGGATACCATACAGGAGTTGACCAGCCTGGAATGATTATGGCTGCTTGATCTACTGTTTTGAAATACCTTTGCCAGAACCATTGATACATATATAGAACCAGTGGCTGCCAGGCAGGATACGCTCACATTTTCGAGAGATGGATAGAGAACAAGCTAACAAGAAAGTGATTTTTCCTACTATCAAGGGCCATAATTCAGGAAATTACAATTCAATATGCGCGAATATCGAAAGGAACTGAGATCTTTGTGTTATAAACTTACATTTCAAGTTTCAACAAAATCAGATAAAAATTGTGACCTCTATAGGGTCCACAACCTTGATATACCATATTTTTACGCTATTTGAGAACAAACGGCGGCCATTTTGTCTGTCAATTTTGGGCCGATTTTCACGAAATTCGAACTCAACCTTCCTTGGGGTGTAACGGTGATATAATAATACGTTTTTTTAAATCGGATAAAAATTATGACCTCTATAGGGTCCACAAGCTAAAAACGCGATTTTTCGTACAATCAGGGGCCATAATTCAGGAAGTTAAAGTCCGATATGCGTGAATATCGAAAGGAATCGAGATCTTTGGGTTATAAACTTACATGTCAAGTTTCAAAAAAATCGGATAAAAATTGTGACCTCTATAGGGTCCACAACCTTGATATACCATATTTTAATGCTATTTGAGAACGAACGGCGGCCATTTTGTGTGTTAATTTTGGGCCGATTTTCACGAAATTCGAACTCAACCCTCCTTAGGGTGTAACGGTGATATAATAATACGTTTTTTTAAATCGGATAAAAATTATGACCTCTATAGGGTCCACAAGCTAAAAACGCTTTTATCGTACAATCAGGGGCCATAATTCAGGAAGTTACGGTCCGATATGCGCGAATATCGAAAGGAACCGAGATCTTTGGGTTATAAACTTACATTTCAAGTTTCAAAAAAATCGGATAAAAATTGTGACCTCTATAGGGTCCACAATCTAAAAACGTGATTTTTCGTACAATCAGGGGCCATAATCCATGAAGTTTCGATCCGATACATGCCAATATCGAAAGCAGACGAGATCTTTTGGGGATAAACCTATATTTCAAGTTTCGTCAAAATCAGATAAGCATTGTAACCTGTAGAGAGTCCACAAACAATGTGGACGGACAGGGGCGACGGCATAATACGTCCACATGAAAATGTGGGCGTATAAAAAGCATTGCATGCTAGAAAAAAGGTCTGGATGTCAAGAAACATTTTTTTAAATGTCTATTAAGTCTGGAAGCAAACAGATCAACATCATGTATGAAAAAATGATTACAAATCTTTGTAAAGATATACTCGTTTAGCTTAATTCCGTTGAACTAGAAAATATTCTAGACAAAATGTCCATCAATACATTAGATTTACCAACAACATGTTTGGCTGACAAAAAGATTCCTTTCTTCAAAGACCACAGCCAAACTTCTTTAGACAATTCAAAAAGATTACCAAAATAACCACCCTGATTATTTATATAAGTAATACAAAAGTTTTATCAGACTGGATACAAATGTGTATAAAAAAACAAATATGACCACAGACAGAACATTGAATATTACTCAAACTTCTAAATAATTTATATAGTTTCCTTGCTCTTAAAGATTTCAACGGCCATTGCTTGGGAAATTACCCCTGTGGGCACCCCATCCATATGGGAAAGTATCTGATGTTATGAACCATTTATACATGTATACTAGGTGGCTGAATATAAAACCCATTATATATATAAACCTTAGATATCTACCATTCTATTTCCAAAAACATTGCCTGAATATGAATGATATCATTATCATAGCTGAAGATACAGTGTGACAGAAATATATTTTTCTGTTTGTCTAAATAATGGATAAAAATAATGTAAGTATAATAGCAGTTCTACTAAAGGAACATTGACCAATAAATGATGGCTCATATGAATTAACAAATTTGAACTAAACAAAATTTCCTCAGCCATTATTATTTATTTTAGAAACTCTCTCATATGTCAACAAGCTTGATAACTTTCTGTATTAATTATGAAGCCTAAAATACTTTCTGTATTAATTATGAAGCCAAAACTAAAAAAGCAGATAAAGAATCATCTATAAAATATGTACATATAATGTTCTGTTTCCCGAGCCAAGCAAACAAAGGTTTGAGAATTTTTGTAAAGATACATGTATGTGTAACCGAAGAAAGACCAAAAGGTAAACATGTAAACACATAAACTTGATCTCGCCATTTGAAACGTAGATATATTTGATGATCAAGACAAACAGGAATTGAAAAATAAGTCTCTTTAATATCAATGGATGTTAAAAAATCGTTCTGTTTAATAGCCTTAGGGCAATTTGCCAGTGTTTCCTGCTTCAAAGTTTGGGGTTTTTTTTGGGTTTTTTTATAATAATAATAATATAACTGTATGCTAATGATACAGAATCGATGGCTTTCTTACATATCATTTAAATGACTTCCTCATCCATTAAAGACATCTGTTTCTGATTAAAAGGCAGGCTATTTGGAATAGCCTTCTGAATATATGAGTTGAAATAAAGTCAATCTTATAACCACTAATGATATTCACTGATCTGAGGGGTAATAGTGGGCCAGTAATATATAAATTGGAAATTTGTCCAGCATAAAATATTCATTACTTTCCAATGTCTAGTGGTAGTTTTGGCGAGGTAATCTGCCTCTCGCCCTGCCCCAGTTGGAGATGACAGCCCCTGAAGGGCCTGCCGGAACAATCCAGCCGGACAAAGTGTCACCAACAGGCCTTGTTGTTAAATATATTGGGTGCTACCTTTTGCTGCGATATTTCCCAAGAAATAATCTATGCTTCAGAGACAACTCTAAATGGGCCTTACTAAGGTTATGATAGAACCTACAATAGAGGACTACCTCAGGGTCAATATTTTTATTTAAAAGAGTTATCAGAGGGCATAAACCCAGACATAACAGTTTTAGAACCTCCTGAAGATAACAATCCTGAGCCGCTTAGGGCAGGGCATGACAAATATCCCGGTCCAACAAAGGTGGCAACAATCTCTTGCATTTACCGGTAACTGATAGAGGATAGTAGAATGTCAATTACTTTTTCTCGACCATTTTTATTGGTAGCTTGGTTGATCACAGAATCATTAAAGACATCATCACCCTAAAAGATTTTGGGGATGTCAAACTTAGTTTCTTGTGTTTACTCCATGAATTCATCATACAAACTTTGAGGATCCATGATATCTAAACCTGATCCATTATTAGTTACTTAAAATGTTATTGTATACTTTTATCTTCATGATGTACTGATACCGCATCTTCAAAACCATGTGATGCAGGTCTATTAGCCGACCTAACAGACTGATGAACATCAATTACCATCAAGACTTTGATTTTAAGATGGATTGTTATATTAAATCAGTGAAGATTGGACGTCAAGGAAACCTGGTTTTGAAGAAACTCAAATTCATTTTTATCTACTAAAATGCCACCACCTGAAAATATTACTTGCATTATAATTTAAGCCTATAGCAGGGGCCGTAACGGCTCATTTTGTCGTAACGACATTATTTGTTGCAGGATTATTAATAACAACCTTTTTATTAGATCTACTTATATACTTATTATTACTACTAGTATAAGGGTAACCCTCTTTACTATTGTTAATATTATGTTAATAATCAGTACCGGTAATAATGCAAAATAATATTACTTGCACTATGAATATGATTCAAGCCTATAGCAGGGGCCGTAACGGCTCATTTGTCGTAACAACATTATTTGTTGCAGGCTTATTAATAACAACCTTTTTATTAGATCTACTTATATACTTATTATTACAACTAGTATAAGGGTAACCCTCCTTACTATTGTTAATATTAATTATGTTAATAATCAGTACCGGTAATAATGCAAATTAATATTAATTTCACTATGATTCAAGCCTATACTATAGCAGGGGCCGTAACGGCTTATTTTGTCGTGACGACATTATATGTTGCAGGCTTATTAATAACAACCTTTTTATTTAATCTACTTATTATTACTACTAATATAAGGGTAACCCTCTTTATTATTGTTAATATCAGTACCGGTAATATAATGTTAACATTACGATCATCATTATCATTATGAAATGAATATGATCATATATCAATCAAATTCTGTTGACTCAACACACTTGAATTGGATAAAGTTCCAAACCAACTATATTATTGGTGTTCAATTCTCGTTTATGAGATTTAAAGGCCTTTATAGACCTTTTAGCAGAAAATTTCCGTTATTACGCTCGTTTTTACCTATGGGTATGTTAAAAATGTTATTATCGAGTTCGGAATCGGAAGTATACCTCCATCATCGGACTGCTGTTGTAAACATCCTGTTTATTCTCGATTGTCCCACTCATGGGGAATATATTATAATCTCTTGTCTAAAAAAGCCGT